TGCGATGGCACCCAATGCATCTAGCCCAGAGTGGGAGGAACTCAAGGATTTTCTGGAAGTCAAGTCTGGCAAAGGGAGGTCAGCATCAGAGCAGGCGGGTTACCAACTTATAGCCCTTGGAGTAACTCTAGGTTTTGCTCTTGCTGGTGGACTATTTGTTGGTTAGTTTTTCCTTTTAACCATTGCAAATGAAGAGACATCAAACTTTTCTTTTGCTGCTTCCTTCCATTTTAAATAGGTAGCAGAACTAAATTTAACAGCTACAAGTTACAAGTTTATTCTGTTTCGTAGGGTTTAAACAAATATCTTGTCACAATATTTCAGGATTTCTGCTCAAACTCTGTGGGTTTCTGGGACAGCCTTCTGGTGACCGCTACTTTGATGACAACTCCACCTGGCATATCCCCCATGACTCAGAAAGTGGCGATGTCATCTCTAAGGTCATAGCAGAACTTGAGAAGAGGAAGAGTTTCCCAAACAAAGCTGATGCTAGTGGCGCCCCTCTGCTGGTGGGAGACTTTGGACAGGGAGACTATGCATTAGAAGAGAAAAGTTTCATTAATGATAGCAAAGTGTAATTGATTAGATATTTTTGGCTGATGCTTTACTTCATGCATCGAAAGAACGAAGTGAAGAAAATTAAAATTCCTGTTAGATGTAGAGTGGGTACTGACTAATCTTGATTCACTGTCTTTTAAGAATATTTGGGTTGGATGGTAGCCCACATTCTAGTTGTATGCATTTACATAAATTTACTGCAATAAATATTTTTTAAAAAGTAGCCTCTATCTAAATTGTATGTGATCACAATGGAACATCTGAACTAAAAGTTTGTTGATGACATCAAATGGGAGGTACGGTAGTTGCTTTTTTTTCAACCAGGGTCTTTGTTATCGGCTTGTATTTAAATTAGTGCTCATGATGGCCCATCAAATAGGCGCTGGTATTTTTTATGCCCATTTAAAAACTACTGGGTAAAGCACTGTTATATTGTACACATTCAACTGTTGTAATACAGAATGTGCAAAAAGTAACGTTACTGAAAAGAAATAACGTACAATAGAAGTTGAGATCTGATTTGACACCTGTTATTTGCAGAGTTTGGGATATGAAGTACTAATGATCAAATTATGTCAGTAAGCAATATGGCAGCAGTCACAGATTATAAATTTCAGAGCCAAAATATATATACATGTGCCTTTGAAAATCTTATCGAAATGATCATTTTTATGTAAAATTTCACTTTAAAATGGCTGGATGGAAAAAGACAACCATTAAAACTAGGATAAGTTGATGTGAAAACCAACATAGCTGACATGTATCAAAGCCTGATTGTCTTGTCTATTCAAGTTTAAGCTACTCTTTCATCAAGTTATCTTTGAACCACTATGTAGAATTTCAAATAATTGTCCTAGATTTGTACTCTACATTTTTTTAAGACAAGTATTTCAAAACATACTTTTTTTTTGTATTAATCATCTATACAATCATACTGCCTAGAAAGCTATTTTAAATAGTGGAGTACCATACTGGAGAGAGAGACATTGTTATTTTATTTTATACTCTTCTACAAGTCTAAAATATAGTCTTTGTGTGCCATGCAATTTAATCATGATGGGCCTGATGGGGAAGGTCATTAATTGTAAATAAAGCGCAGGACCTATTTACTTTCATTGTTGTCACATTTTACTACATGATTACTCAACTATTTATTTCTAAGCTGTGACCTAATTTGAACTGTTTATGAGATTTGACTTACATGAACAGTGTATGAGATTTGACTTAACATGAACGGTTTATGAGATTTGACTTACATGAACAGTGTATGAGATTTGACTTTATGCCTCATATTGTTGTTTTTCATTTCCACAAAATTCGGATGATCCCGTTCACCTTATGGTCGCAGTTAAAGATAGAATGTGGTAGAAGGACAAAATCAGATGACACTAAGTCTCTACAATTTAACTACCAGTATCATGGAAAGTTCCAAACTGTTTGCTCTCTTTTGTTTGGGGGTTTTACCATTCCCTCTGGGGTAACTGTGTGTAAACCCAAACAGAAATTATTTACATGACTGTTAAAAGAAAGTTTAATCAGATTAGCCTCATTTAACTGTTCTCAGTAACTATGGCGATGCATTTTTGCCAGCTGATGTTCAGGAATGTGCATCAAGTGGTGTTCCTGATAAAAGAAGGGGGTCCACTATCCCACATGTTAGTAAGGTCTGGACATTCAGACTTGCTCATCCCCACCCTTTGACGAAGTGAGACACTTCTGACAATTGTGGGAGTAAAATAAAATTACTGAGGATTTCTATTTTTGTTAAACTGTATTAATTTAATTTTCCTCAGAAATCTAATATCAGATCTAGTGGCTCATATACACCAATTATCTCCCACTGATCTTGCTGCATTATATTCTGTTCTGTATTAATTAGTCTACTTTTCCTTAGAAATGTAATAGCAGATCTATTGGCTGATACACACCAATTATCTCCCCTGACCTTGTTGCATTATATTCTATGCATGTGTTCCCCTTGTGTCTCACTCACTCACATTTGTGCAATACATTTCAATGATATTAATGATTCTGTCCTCATTACTTGAACATTGAGATCTGATCCTAAACATCTTTGACTCTTCCCAACATCAGGGATGAAGAGTTTTATTTGGTGCCTACCAACACCAACCCTACAGACAGTGTTATCACTGATGGGTTTAATTGGTTCTAGAATTTGTCAGGATTATTTTGTTTCTTTGTAAATTTTGTTTGACTGTAACTGTATTATGTATTAAACTCTAAAAAAAACATAAGAATCTTGAAATTCTTATTTTTGTGTCAGCTTTAGAGATATGTAAATTTATGAGAATTCCTCTTCTTGGTCTATTTCTACAACCAATAATGAACATTCAAGTATTACACAAAAATGATGTTTTATACCATATGATGGTACACTAAATGTTATAATAAGTATGCCTGCATCTTCTGTTACAATGGTACAACCACATCCAATACACGTTTGCCCACCTGATGTTATCAACCTCCAAAGACAAGCTTCACCCCCAAAAACTAGTCGAATATATAGACAAAAATAAGTTCAAAACAAGACTGTCAATTCAACTAATTATTTATTGCACCTTTACAAGAAATTAAAACAAAAAAAAACATAGTGAAATACTAAACATAGGCATAGGTACGTTTGTAATAACAAACATCCAAAGCATTCAAATATGCATGAAAACAGAGAATTAGCACACAACGTTTTTTGCTTGTTATATTAGCTGGGACCTTTTTTTTACATTTTAGTTTCACGGCAATGATTCTAAACCTGTTGGGTATAGAATAATTTTTAGGAATCTATAGCAATAACTGCAGGGTCCTCTTAAAATCCCACGCACACTAAGAGTTAAACATTTTCAACTAATCCTATTTTCAGGGAAGTGAATATCATGAATTGTTTCACCCTTCGCTGCCCCCAAATATTTTTAGAATCTCGGGGAAAAAAAGTAATAAAGGAATAAGTTCCAAATCTCAAGATTTGTGCACTGGTAAATACAATATCAATACACACAGCTATAACATCATATCAAAAGGGAAAAATTAAGTATAGAATGTAAGTCAAGCAAAGATGTGCACTGTGTTCAATGTTAAAAAAAACACATTTTATGACGTAATTGACAGAGGGGCATAACTTTGAACTTAAAGTCCAATAGGCCATAAAAATTCTTTTTTTTATAAGGGAACTTAAATTAATTGCCATGGTGGCCGCCCCTTGTTTTCCACCAGCTGAATAAAATACCTTATGCAAAATCCAACAGTCAAATGTTATAAATGTTTATGCATTACTTCAGAACCATATAATTTCATGAGTAAACAAGTTAAGTAAAAAAACATCCATTACACAACAAACACCAGAGATAAGAAATGAATTATTTAATCAATGTATAATAATAATTGGTATTCTGATTGCTTTCTATCATTTTTACTAGTTGAAATTCGATTCATGAAATATTTGCAACAAAAAAAATACTACTTCTATGAAAAACATAAAATCTCCATGGCAGTGGTCAGTAAATGTATGACTTAGCAGTGGTCAGTAAGTGTATGACTTAAACAATTTCAGTGGTCAATAAGTGTATGACTTAAACACTTTCATATTATCTAATCTTTCAACTATATTTATGTTTTGTTGCAGTAAAACTATATTTCTTCTCCTCAAACTCTTGTTATATGATAATAGAGGACAACTCAGTTAATGAGCTGAGAATAGATTCAACTCATGTTCTTCTTCAATTATTTCTCATCAATGAAATTGAATTTTAATGAGTTTGAGCTGTGCCAAAAAAAAACTTATTTAAAAAAAAAAAGGGAAATTCCTTGTAAATTGGGCTCACGCACTGGAGGCCAAAAAAGAAGAGAAAAAGATATGAACAGTTCAATGACCATGAGATTGGTATAAGGTACTTATGTCTGAATGCCCTTAGAAATAAAACAATCAAACAAAAAACTGAGCATAAATACTTATAATGTCAACACAAAATATAAAGTTAATATAGGAATCCTCCACAATTATCTCTTGGAGTATAACCTCACTGAGAAAAACAAGGCGGATATATTTGTCATGCAGGAAATGTGAGATATGGCATTTACAGTGTATCATGGTCAGAGTTCATGACCAACAATTGTTCTTTATATATTTACACACAGAAACAACTGGCCAGTTTTTACTTTTTAATGCAAGACCAGCCTGAAAATAGTCCCATTTTTATATATGACTTAAATTATAATTTAGAATTAGTTTTGTTTCTCTTTGGTAAAAAGTGAAAAAAAACAAAAAACAAACAGACTTGGAATCAAGTAGTAGGAATGTTAAGACAACATTTTATTAAAGATAAAATATGGGACAGATTTTTAATAAAGTTTAATTCATTATTTCTTTCAATGATGTTATGATGTTCAATATATATATATATATATATATATATATTACATTTAATAAAGCCATTTCTTTTCCCAAGTTTGCAGTTCGATTAGATAAAAACAAGTTCAGATATAAAAACAAAAGGAATGAAACTCATGTAAATAAAAACCTGTAAATTTAAGGCATAGATGAAGCACTGAAAATGGACTGCAATACCTGGATTGGGATAATGATGTCATTCTGAGATGTGTAATTTCTAAATGTTCAAAGGCTTATCTCATTTTTATTTAATCATATAGCTTTTAAAATAAATTTGTTATCGTACTGTTTTTGACCAAAAAATGTATTATCTAACAATTTAGAAATCATGTTCTAGTACAGCTCCTGGAGATTTAGACTGATTCTTGCTGGCCAATGAGGAGCTTGAACAAGTCATGAACATTTACGCAGCTTAGATCTTGCAACAGATTACAGATTTAGAAGAATGGGTTTTTCAACAATAACAAAATACAATGTAGCTTTTTACCACATTATTTTTCTCCTCACAAAGACAATGATGTCCCCCAGATATGGACTTGACACATAAATGATCCTGGACATGACAAAGAATAATTCTCTAGGTATGTATGTATGGCTGTGACGCTGCTATCAATAAACGCACAAAATCAAATTCACAGAAGTTAGCACTAAATGGAATTCATTTAAGTGCGTTGGTTATTTGCACGTTTTGTCAAGTAACTGGGAAGTTCCTGCTTTGCCGTCACATTTGTTTGGAAGGTTATTTCTAATAGATAATAATAATATCTTAGTAAAAGAACAAATCACTATTCTATTCACTTAGTTTTTAAATTTTTTTTCGTCAAATCTATATTATAAAGTTGAAATGTAAAACATTGTTTGAAAAACTATTCATCCTCAACTGGTTATATTTTTAAAAATCCAAAAAGAGAAAAATTTTAGTCGAATTTACTCTGATAAATTTAAATGTAGAGTCGTTGGCATCTGCTTAGTTGAAACAATGCAAACATGCCAACCTGTCGGATAAAAACTGTACAAAAAGTCCCAGAAAACTGTACAAGAGCATGAAAAACTGTACAGAAAAAAAATGAAAAGTCAAAAAAAGTTTAAGTCATAACTTTTTAATTTAATTATCATTATTTTGAATGCATGCTAACTTTGCCTTCTAGATAATTTGAGGAACAGATGGAAAACCCAAACAACAAGATTCATTTAGATGTGATTGTAATGAAATTTTCAAATAAGATCTCACCCCTTTTAACAGCATCCAATAGATTTTATCTTCATGATATGGCTGGGAAAAAAAAGGATTAAGGACTAATAGAGGTAGAATTTCCTTTTATTGCCTCAAAATTTCGTTTGTGGCACTATGTCTTAAAATGTGATTTAATGTCACAAGTGCCTGAAGCAAGCACAGTATATATCTTTTTTTTGCAAAGCGAGTGATGAGGCATGGATAATTCCAGGGTATTTCGACAGACATTCACTAAGACACTTTCCCAGGTGCATGTCTGATCCCAAATTTTAATTTTTTTTTTTAAAGGTTCATTTTCTCAATTTGGAAGTTTCCAGCCGGAGGAAATAATAAATTTTGTAAAAAACAAATACAAATATACAGTTCTTACTGATTTCAGCTCTAAATATTGGTGCACTTAAATAATAAAGAAAACATCACCAGCTTCAAAGTTGTAGAAAGTGCCAACACAATCAATTTAGTCATGCCATTGTGCAATATTGGTACACTAGTCACAGACATAATGACTAAAGCCCTTTATTGTTGGTGATACTTAATATGGTTATTATTTAATACACATGAAAAGCACACTTGCTGACATTGCAGTCTTTGTGTGACTATTAACTATTCAGCAAAAAAAAGTGAATTATAATACTTTAAAAATTAATTCCGTATTTGACCCAAGTCAAATTTGTGCAACTTTCATTTATCGCATACCAGCATTCATTTTAGCTCAGACTGTCAGCCACACTCTATAGACTAAAACAATTGTAATGGTCACTCCTAAACAATTAATAATAAGACATCATCCTATTTTTGGTTCTCAAGCGTTTTTTAAAAACAAATTTCACAGTCCTCCCCGCTGACATTACAAGCAAATATCACACTGATTTGAAAATAGACAATGATAAGAACACACTTATAATTTATCAGGGTAAAGAGTGGGTAAATTATTTTATAAGCAGCAGGCAAACAGATCCTTGTGAGCTTAAATAACACTGATTCATCTAATTAATACAAAATACAACAGAATGTGCTCGAGTATGTATAAAAATACTTGTATTTTTATTCTAATATCAGTAATTATCCTCATCATTGTGATTGGGTTATTCAAGGAAATCATTTTGATGAGCATGAGAAATTCTTTACCAAGTAAGCGAAGATTTCGGTTTTAAAACTTCAAAGGCCATGCTCTAATATAAATATGTCTGAGTATCATTTATTTTAAATACGGGTAATAAAATCTTAACAACATCATCCCAAAAGATTTTTAAAACAGTATGTCACCCAATTTAAGTTTTCTTCAATTTAGAAACAACTCTAGATCAGAGTCAACACAATTTTACTGATTAAATTTAAAATGTGAAAGCTACCTTTATATCACTAATTTTTAAATATCACTTCACACCATTAATTTAAGATTGGCTATATAAAAGCCAGATTTAACCTAATGTTTCATCAGAACATCAATTCAAAAATAGTATTTCTTAATCTAAATTTTTTAGTCAAAACATTCCTATGGCAAAATTCCAATTTAAAAAGCAACAAACATTAGTTTTAGGACTAATATCAAAAGCTTTTTATCCCCTGGCATGACACAATGCAAATATCATTTGAAAGGCAAATGGTAAACAACATGAAAAGCCATTTAATCATTTGAAGCTTTTGGTTTTGAAATAATAAAGCCAAAAAATATGTGGGAACACCACCAGTGCTGTAAATTTTATCACAACTTGGGGATGAAGAAATATTTATTATGAAATGTTTCACTTATCCTCATTTTGGTGTTAATTATTTAATCAGTTGTTAATCAACAACAGCACATCTGGCAAATTTAATCAATAATGTCTTTTATTTGCCTAAACTTTTCTGCCAAGTATGCTCTTAAGACTTTGATTGAAAAAACCGTTCAAGTTCTTATTTCTCATTCAATACTAGTGTTTACTCAACTTTTAATCTGTTCAATTAAACGCTAAAAGTTTGAATCATGTATTTGGCTATCTAAAACATATACTTGGCCATTGAGGACACAAAGACATTTAAAATTTGCATTTAAAGAATTCATTAAACTTAAGAAACTTGATAGACATCAGGAACATTTGCAGATGACAGAGAATCTAGTGACACAGTTACCAATCATATGACTTGGGGACAAATTATTGAGGCTGAAGTGTAAATAATTCAAATAATAATGTTCATACTTGTGAGGAACACTGACTAGTTCCCAGGGGCGTGGTCGAGATCCCCAGCCAGAGAGGCTGTCTCCACAGAGGTGCTCTCAACTTTGATAAATGTCCCTAGAAGATTCTGTATCTCCTCTAGCAAAGGCTCGCATAGTTTCTGATAGCCGATATCTGTTGTCAGATGCAGGAAGTCATACATGGCGCTGCGACGGATGACACCTTCGCTTGACATGAATTCTTTATCATCTATTCTTAGAAAACTTGTGAGAGGAGCACCTTGCAGTTCATCTGCAAGACGCTCATTAATTTCTTTGTGTTTCTGTCTCAGTGCATTTGGCTTTTCCCCTCTAGGGAGTAGGCCCTGAAATAACATTAGGAGAAACTAAACTAGAAAGTATAAAAATCATTGTAACAAATTTTCAAGTTAATATAACTTTTACAAAATGGTATGAACTGGTGTTTCTCTGTAGACTTTTTTTTCTTGTAATTTTGGATGGATTCAGTATTACATATAAAAATCCTTAAAACATCATTTCCCCACTCAATTATCTTTTTCAGACCACAAGCCTGTGTAATTGTAGCATACCATTTTCATCAGTTACCCATCCATAGTTTGAAAAATAATTCATGAAAGTCAGCTCTGATTAACACTGGGACATAGAAAACAAACTCACCACTACAACCAGGTGTGAAGATGGCTGTTTCTCTCTGATTGATTTAACATTAGCTAAGATGCCCTCTGTAACCTGCTCAGCAGTGTCATCAAAATTGTTGGTTCCCACATGTAGCACAATGACCTGAAAATATTGTCCACCATCATTTTCTGTATCAACACATTTTATGATACTTTTCAAATACACTTTTTTTTTGTGAAGATTCTTTTCTCTTCACATCATTTGTTCATGGAACTATTTTCTTTTTTAAATATTACCCAGTACTGATAAATTTTCAAAAATAATAAATACATTTTTCCATTTTTGTGGTATTTCACTTTCTGTCAACCTAATTAATCTCCACTACACCATATTTTTTCCTATCTAAAAAATTAGGCATAGTGACACCCCATATAATATCTTTGGGAGACTAACAAAGTGCGGCCCTACTATGTAATAAAATATTAATTTTTATACACTTGCGGCATTCTTAATTAACTTTTTTTAAAGTCATCATTCTGAAAAATGTGAGGCTAACTGTTGTCATTAAAGGTTTGTTGCACAAGTTTCAAACTACAAAAGGATACCAATTATGACTTGACTTGACTAATATTAGCCTCACAGAAGCTAGTGATTATGCTCTGTCTTAAAAAAATGACAAAGCAAAGATGTGTCAAAATTTTTTTTAAAAGCATTGCTTGACACATTTTAAATTGTTGGCGTGATCTAGTTTTTTTGACAACAGTACTAGAAGATCTGACACGGTCTTACCCAGCTAAAAATGGAAGGCATATGGCTCTACTTGCTACTGGGAAGACTCAAAAACTACTAATTGCTATGTGTTTAACTGCATCCAATTTTGAGATTATGTATCCCCATAAAAAAAAAAGTACAAAAATTTTCCATGCCCTTGAAATTTATATTAAGTTTTAAGGAATAGTAAATCAGTAAATCTATGTATAGATGTTTACATTTGTAAAATCATTGGGTTTTGAGAAAAGTTTATTCTCTATATAATATAGGTCCACCCAACCCTCTTTTTTACGCCCCAAAACAACAAAGAAAATAATTATTATATTCCATTTATTTATAATAATACATATTAAAGATAGATTTCTTGTTCTTTCATAAAAGTAATAAAAGCATATTTATTTTATAATATTTAAATTGATTCCATTTCAGTAAAATAATAGATAATCACTATCATCGTTTTAAAGAATCTGTGCGTAGCACATCATCATCGGCTCCTTTTGATATTTATTCTTGTCACCTCTTTGAAATGAGTCTATTATTATTAGGATTTTAACGTGAGCCTAATCTAAACTATTATAAAGTAGCTTACCTTTGGCTCAATCTTATCTAGCTCTCCATTATGTATCCTCCAGAGAACATGTTGAGTTCTGTCCCCTCCTATCCCAAAGTTGAGACAATGAAGTGGCTCAAACATCTGTTCCCATAACTATTTTTAAAAATATTCAAATGTCAATTAACACATTTTTTCTCTTCAATTAAAAGAAAAATAGGATGGCACATAGAAACACATAAAAATACTTTTCTCAAAAATTATTTATTTTACAATAGTTGTTTTTTTCCCGTTTCTATTTTATTATTTTTTTGAGCGCATTGTTTATTATTGCATTTTCGCTTTGTACAATGTTTTTTAAAAAGATGGTCATTCAGATTACTTCATATTTTCATGTGGCACAATTAGTGATCCTGATATTTCACAGGTTATCCCCACTGTGTGCGTCAGCCAGAAACATAGGATCAAATTTTGTCCCAATGGTGGCAGGGCAGGTCAGTAGGAAATCCACTCCTTACTAAGAAAGGTCAAATTTAAAGGAAACTACTCCAGGTGTTCCATGGGTGTACAGGTGGTTTGCCATTAGGGCAAAACATCCCAAAAGTGCCGCTTTGTTCCACGGAGAGGGTTCACAAATAGGGGTTCCTGGGGGAGGGGGCATAAGAGCCTCGACTTAAGCCACTGATATTATTCCTTAACTGTAATTTAAAAATTTTCACGGGTGTGAGTGTTCTTATGTGGTGGTGTCCTGTTGAGGGAGTCATCTGGTGTGCACATGGGATGTTACTGGGCTTTGAACCTCACAACATTAACATCCTTAATAACTCACCCAGTTTTTAACTGACTGTGCTAACCCTAACCAGCCACCCATCTATAGAAGTCATTGTGGACTTATTATTTCATTATTTTTTGCCTATCAACCAATAAAAATACATCACTAACGTGCCTTAGATTGGGTCATTTGAGCTATGATAGAATCACCAATGAGCACAACTTCTGGTTCTTTCTCTTTAGCATCATGAAGAAATGAGTTATGCTGTAAATAAATGTACAATAATTAGGTATATAATTTAATATAATAATTAATAAATATATTTATGCCATATTGATGCACTCAATATTTGTGTTGTGAGAATGTCAGACCTTCGGTTACCCAAGAGATAATTTTTTCAGATTTTAAAGAAACAAAGATAAAATTTGGCGTGTCTGTGGACTAGCCTACTGATTAAAATAAAGCACTGTTGTTATAGTTTTGTTTAGAGAAAAAATTAAAAGTGTTTCTCACATGATGAGAGCTGAATTTTACCATGGTAGATCTTCATTTAATTAGTAATTATTTTCATGCTTGGCAAAAACGAATATTTGAAAGAAATAAAAAGCACTTTTGGACTGTCAATAATCAGTTCAAATTTTTAAACAGCATTACTATTTAGTAACTACTATATTTTAAGGATTTATAATGACACCGCTAGTTACAGGAAACCTAAATTTCCAACAGCATCTCTTCTGTTGCTGTCCTCTTAAGTGTAGAATGATGCAAAATAAATTCAGGTATGTGCCAATATGCATACCCTTATTTTGACGTTAAGAACAAAATTTCAGGGAGAGGGTGTAAGTCCCTTCTCCCTATTGGCTCAGACGTCTTTGTGCGCATACTCAATTTCTGCTTTCCCAACCCACTTTTTTGTCATTCAAAGTGACAATGGAGTCCATCTTTTTTATCAACAATTTGCAATGAACATAATTAAATGAAAGAACTATATTTTGATATAAATCTATTGCATTTATTTATGTGTGAAGGGGTACGAGTGTTATCATAGATAATTACGTGCATTAAAGAATAAATAAATAATAGTTTACATCGTTTAATTGTATTTATTTTCTTTCTTAGGTTTAAGGACATGATGCCCGCAAAGATGTGACTCACGATCAGAAATGGCCTCTAAAGCTATTTGAATTTGCCACCCATGGTTTAAATTATAAAATCAACTTATCAGCATTTTCTTTTGAAGTCAAACAACATTTTGATATCTTTAAAAGTCTTTCTGTTTTAATTCAAGCCCTTAAATCTATTTAAAACAGTTTTGACTTCAATAGTAATTAAGTCCTAGTTATTTTCTAGAGGTAAGTACCAGTTAATATGATTGTTGTATTGTAAAATCTGGTGTTTTTGTGCCTGTGTTTTTTCTAAGAGAGTACCTGGAGATTATAACAAATTTTTGTTTGTTGAATATTCTGTGAATATATTTCTACATTTAACATTTTTTACATTCAATTTTCACAATTTTTTTACAACTTAAGTGTCTACTTAAATACTTAACTTTGTAGGCGGAAATAGAAAGTAATTGCAAGCCTATAACTGGCAAAAAATCCACAACAATAATACCCTTGGAAAAATTAAAACTTGAAGATCACCATTTTGTCGTCAAAAGCATGACACTCGATTTTTGGCTTTTTTCCAAGCCATTCCCAAAAGCTTATTTCATTTATATCAATATCAAGTTGTTGAAGAGATATTTTAATTTACCATATCAGACCTACAATTTTAATAAAATGTAGGCCTTCTTCTTAGCCTGCTAAAATAAATGAGAAATCAATTCAAAGCATGATAAAGACCAAAGTCAAAGCCTCCAAATCCTTATTACAAAAGTTGGTGAAGGAAAAGTTTGACCTAGAAATACTATTCATTACTAGATTCCGTATAGATTTGGTTAGAAGCATGAGTTTTGCAAAGAGTGTCTCACCCCAAAGGCAGTGATGTCACTTTGGGGTATCACAACTTCAGCTTAGGGTGAGAAGATCAATAGTTGAAACTGATTGATGTGTACAATAACTATCCTGTTCTTCATGGAGCATTATTGGAGGCATAAACTTAAATCTGACAATCCATAAAGCTGATATGAAATCAAATTTTCTATTCATTTTTATTAACTTACAAGGTCCAAAATAAATTTAAAAAGTAACTCATCCTTGCTGATACTCAAAATTACCACCATTGTCTTTTCATTGGTTGAGAAAAGAAGTACAGATCCAGCTAATGATCTCTTCACCCTAAGTCCAGTGTTGGCAGATTGAATTCCATAAAATGATGTCATTGTGCTAAGGGTGAGAAAACTCTTGGCAAAATCCATGCCGCTAACTACACCTTTCCCATATTTTGAATTCAGAACTATAGCCAGAAGTTGTACTGGGGAAATGCCATGACATATATTAAGGAAGACATCCCAGCCTTACCGCTAAGTCTGGTGATAACCCAATCTTAGCCCTGAATTTCCCAGAAGTGTATACTGTATGCTACATACATCTTAATAATCAAATATAGGTCTTTTGAGGAAATCCTGTTCATTCACTAATTGATTTTAGTAAATGCTAGCAATATTCATAGAGCAGTTCATGCCATCAGTTTGAATACTTTGTCTAGTATAGCTATTCGGACCCGGGTCCTTTTACTTTAGACTAAATGCTATTCGGATGTCATTTGTGGTAGTTTATTTTAGTAAACTGAAGAAGTAAGTGTAAAAACATAAATAGTATAGTCCATTCAATTATCTTTCATTTGATACCAAATTTTGTCTTACAAACCCAAAAAAACTATTTTAAATAGGCAGTGTCTACACGTCCGGCGCGCGGCACGTATATCTCCCGCATTATTTGTCCGGTGACCAAGTCACATGACTGTCGGAAGAATACTTTATCGAGATATTCGTCCGGCGACCAAGTCTCATGACCGCCGTAACAAAGTGGTGGGAGATATTCGTCTGTCAGTCTTGTCACGTGACCGCAAATGATTCAAAACTATGGTTAATTTTAAAATCTATTTCTCTACCAAGTAATTGACAGAGTATCTTGCAAACAAATAATAGAAAAAAATACTTGAGTATATTACCAAACAAAGTGGGGGTTAAGCAATAATGCATCCTAGAAGGAAACATTGCTAAGAGGGAGAGAGAATAACGGTAATAAAAAATACGGATGCTAAAAAATTAATACTGAGGGTGATAAATAATAAGTTTAAGGCGGGGAGGCTGATAGTTCACAAAGAAATATACCCTACATCTTAATATAGGGCTAATATTGTGGTAGCCTAGCCTACTTGTCATGCAATAATAAATACTAATCCTGAAATACAACTTTATTGGCATAGACATAGGTCTATTGAAGTCTACTACTACTGGTCTTATTTTATTTTTTCATATTTTAAATTTAGGCTTCAAGGTGGAGCTTTACAAGCACTTGTACTACTACTTAGTATATAGACTTACTAGTTTAAGATTCAAAGTCAAACACTTTATTTAACTCAGAGTCAGAGCATTGGAATATATTCACATGTTCAACATTTATTTATTATCTAGGGATCAGAATATCAAATGCAATGCAACTATTTTGCTGGCGAACACTTGTCACATGACCTGCAGGAATAATAACGCCTACTAGTTGTCCGGCAGTCATGTGACATGCCCGCGGGACATATATCTCCCGCACTATGTGTCCGGCGCGCCGGATGTGTAGACACTTCGTTTTAAATATTTTTTAATAAACCCAACCTCTCACTTGATACCTGGGTCCGAATAGCCACTTCGTTACTTAATAGTCATTTATTAAATTAAATGTTATGAATTTGAGCACCTAAACCAAACTGGACAATTACTCTGCAATTTTATTCAATACTCTCATTCTGCTTGACTGCCTAGGGTAAGAGACTAGATTAAGACTAATTTAGAGTCATTTTCATGTCAGTGCTGGAGTGCTTAGTCTAAGTTAAGTAAGTCTAAGTCTAAGCAGTAAATAGTAAAAGTAAATAGTAATAGTAAAGTCTTAAAGTTAAATAGGCTTGGCTGTCTTACCAAACTCATCCATCGCCCATCTCCTTGTATGTCTTCAACTGGTTGTGCTTCGGCCGCACGGCTGGACATAGCTGGGTACAAATACACGAGAATGAAATAAAAGTGGATCCAGAAATTATTTAACCCAAAACCAATTAAAATAGTGAGCAGAAAGCCTAAACTTTAAATTATAAATTTTCACTTGCAAATCTTTGCATTGGAACTTTACCGGAAGTTAGTTTAGACTTTATCTTTTTTGTAACTAAATATTAAAATGTTATCGATTGTAATGGAATGCTATCAAATAAAAACTAAAAATCTTATAAAATGAATTGCGAAACAAATATTTCTAACTAAAACTGTAAGAAGACAGATCTCTGACATTCACCACATAAATTGATGTATCTTGCATTTTAGTTTTAGAGCTTTAATTTATTTTGTGATAGAATTGAAATGTACTTTTTAAATCCTTTATGTTAACTTCGCTTTTGCTCGTGTGTTTCTGGCCGGGTGGAAAAATCTTAGGAGTCGGAGGGCTAAATCCATAAATCGAACTCAAACTCAATTATACCCCGTTGCCCGTGACAAAACATTCTATCAGAAATTCAACCCCACCCCAACCCCCAAATCTCTGTTTTTCCCGTTCTTAAAGGGGAAGATGAAGGAAATGTGATGCCACTGATTTCACGATATAAAATTCCCGATATCTGCGCTAAAATGATATTCTTTTTTTTTTTTTTTAAAGAGTAATAATAATAATAACTCAAGTGCGTTTGAGTTTGGTGCATAAAATTTTCTTTTGTTTTTCCGAAATAGTTGGGGAAATAAATCTGCGTATGTCTTCTTCTTCTATATCTTAAGGGCCCACGATCAATTTATTGATCATTTTGGCTCCTATGCATGTAGATGGGATTTGCAATGTTTCTGTTACTGGTGGTGATGAGGAAATTATGCACTAGGGGTTTGAAGGCTTGAGGCAA